TTCTAGTTATGGCGAATCTACTATCGTGCGCGTTACCTTGGGTAATCATCATACCTTTCCAAACTGGATTTTGGTTGAACGCGTTCATGAATTGGACCAGTTTGATATTCAATAGTTCATGTAATTTCATCCTCCCGTTCTACTTGTATTACATAACCACAAAAGGATCAGATTTGAGAAATGATCCGGATATCATAAAAGTTGAAACAGGCGACGAAAAGCACGTCATGGAAACGGAGAGGAAGAAATCAGTCATGTCCGATAAAATTTCGATTACAAGCATTATATTGACCGACTATAATCATAATCATAATAATAATAATGGGAATAAATTATCCATTTTACCCATCGTTATAAGGTCGCCTTCCCCTAATGAAAATCATCTTTTACCTCCTCAATTACTTGAACATAATCCCATACGAAAGGAATCTCACGAATCCATTCGTTCTAGTTTCTCCATACGAACTTATCATTCAAGTACCAAAGTCAGTCCAAGAATTAGTCCCAAGGTTAGTCCAAGGATCATGCCGGAAAATCATCCAGAAGAAAATTATTTCGATATGGTGATGACGACTTCAGCGCAACATGAGCTCGAGACACGGGAATATAATCATCATGTTCCTTCACCAAATTTTCTTGATATCCCAACACCGCAACTGGTCTTACATGGAAATCGTGGTTCCCCTTGTTCAACTCCTGGTGGAATTCGTTCACACAACGCCATGACCGCCGGCTTAACGATATATCATCAATCCATTGAGAAACAACATTTATCGGCCCCACCCTCTTTAATCTCACGTAATAGTTTGAAACGGGGAAGATCTACACAAAGGCATGTAGTCGCCCCGATAATCACCCTGAATAATAATAATAGTCAATTGGATTCGAATGTAGATCCGCTGGATCTTCATTTTCGCCAGAGGCTTCGTCACCACCATCAACCCTCGCTTATCTCTAGTGACGATAATCATAATAATCAGAAGGGAAACTTTGACCTATTTAAAGCGTTTCCTTGGATCTCGGACATCAACGGAGTGAAGATGGCGATTGGACTTGGGGCTCTCTCCATCATGTTAATTGGTGGCGTGATAGCTTATGATTTTATTTTATTAGCAACCGGAACAAATATGTTCGGTATACACCGTAATACGTCATGAAGAAAGACACCGACGTCATTGTTTGTAGATATAGATTACTGTATTTATGTTGTATTAAATAAAATCATCATTGTATTGTAAATATATAATAAAACGTTCATTAAAAAAAAGTCCCCATTCGTTCATTATGATAGTAGATTGATTACGAAGTTTTGTCGATTATCAATTATCCATCAGGATTCAAAATAGTCGATTGAGGTTAAAGCAACTATCTTCTAACTGGAAAAAAAAAATTTTTTTTTTCATCCACCTCATTTAAATATATTTTAAAATAAACATTAAAGCATTATCATCAAAAATTCACAAGATATTTATTTATTCTTCCTACTTTCGAAAGTTCCTTATTAGTTGTTACTATGAAAAAATACAGGAGACGAGAAATTGTGCGACATGGTCACCGATTGCGCTAGCAAAAAAAAAAAAATGCCAAATGGATTCGGATCAAAATTCGAAAATCACGTTAAAAATTGTTTCGGTAGTATAAAGGGGGTAAAACAATGGGATCACGAGGACTTTCGATTTGTGAAACCTTGTCAAAAGGGGACAATTCCGCAGCAATTAGATTTTTTGGGTCGAACGAGAAAAAAAACGAAGGGTTCCTCGTGCAGAGCAAAAAAAAAGAAAATTGAGAAGGAAAAAACATTCCGTGAAACATGGACAAGCACGCAATTACCCTTTAATGCATTCAAGAAATCTTATAGATAAATATTTACCCAATTATTATTATGTTTATTCCATCCATGTGCGGTTCTGCGGGTCGTTGAACCAATCAGAAGAAATACCAACAATAATTGGTTTATCGAACTCTTTCTTGGCACACGTTTTTTTTTTTTTACTGTAATCACTCATAACGACCCTCCTTCCATTAATATCCTACAATCAATGACAAATATTTTTAAATTTCATATGAACATCCTAAACAATATTTAAGTGAACTAAGTATGGGAGTTGAAATGTAGATACTTGATTTTGAATTTTTAATTCAAAACCTAAACATGTTTTTTTTTTTTTTTTTTATATTTTACAAATCCTATTTTTGAAATCAAAAAATATGTTCTGATTCCATGAATAGAACTTTGCGCCGAAATTTTACCGGATCGACATTTGCAATACGATTTACAAAAAAAAAAAAAAAAAAAAAAAAAAATATTAAATTTTTTTAATTTAATTTTTAATATAAGGGATTTATTTAATTTATACATACATGAGTTAGCAGGTTTGTTATCAGGATTTCATAGAATTTAATTAAAAAACGCGAATTATGTAATGACGGTATCGCACTAAAAGAGAAGAATGAAATGAAAAAAATATTTTATTTTAATTCTTTTTTTTTTTTTTTTTTTGTTCAAATATTTCAGAATATTTTAAATTTTACAACTATTCTAAAAAAAAGAATAAAGAATAAAGAGAATGAGAATGAATTAGCATGCGAAGAGAAAAAATGAAGAACACGTCCCAACAATGAGGTTATATATAGACATTCTCCACATTTGGTGTTCCAGAATTATTGACATAATGAATGAATGTTGAATGAGAGTGAAAAGAGATTGAAATGATGAAATGATGATATACATACAATATCTCATACTGGCTGTGCGCTTTTTTTCTCATGATCAATCTGTCGTGCTCTCTTGTCATGTATCAAGTCGTAAACACACATAAACACACAGAACATGCGGTAGATCATTTAGGTGAATAAGCCACGAATTGCGGAAAAATATTTCTTTTTCCCCCCCAATATTTTTTTTTTTTTTTTTTTTTTTTTTTTTATGAAAGAAATCTCAAATCCCCTTTAAGATGATGTAATTATAATAATACTAATAATAATAATTAATTATTATAATAAAAAAAAAAAATATTATTACATCTTATATTAATAATTAATAATAAAATCTTGATGTACATGATTTAGCTGTGCGAGTAACATAACCAACAAAACCAACATAACCATAACCAGCGCAATTTCATGCAGCCTGAAAAGGTTTGGATTGAAAATGTGACTAAACTGTAACGATTTTGTCCCTGCATGTATACTTTAATTAGTTAGGAACATTGATAAATATATATGCATGGGGAATGCAAAATTACCCTTGACCAACAATGTGTGCGATGTTGTAAGAATTCGCCACGGATGTATTGATTTCGCAAGTTTAGGCGCGGTTTTTCTTTACTGCCAAAAGTGATTCAGTCTTTTTACATGACTTGGTAGTGGATTGCGCCACTCTGTCAACTTTAAGAGAACTATACCAGATTAAGTCAATAGCTCGGAACCGGTTTTTCGTCCCGTGCTATCGTGGGTAAATATGAAACTTCATTTCAAGATATCAGACCAGTTGTCAACCTGTAGAAAAGAACAAATTTTTTTTTTGGTTATACAAATGGTGAAAATAGGGATGAGGGGAACATATCCTATAAGACAAAACCATCATCATCTATCATAAAAACATCAATTTCCAAAAATCATATGCAGAATTGTTTTTGTTTACCTTTGGTCTGGACCTGCACCAGAACAAAAAAATTCATTAGGGACAATACTTTGCAGCTAAACCTATCCTGGTTTCAGATGATAAGTTACATCAAATTCATTTTTACAGATGTGTTCCCCATGACATTTATTCACCATGTTGGTTTAATGTAAATGATGACAGTTGGTAAGCAAATATCGAGAAAAGGAAGGATTGTCTGGAATTATTATTGTCTGTTGTGTTTCTCCCAATTTGTCATTGAATATATTGGTGTCAAACACTATTTGATAACAAAAGTCAAATTTAGATATCGATTCATGTGTACTTCTTTCCTTACATATTTTGTTATTTTGTTTATTTTGGTTGTTTTAGACTATATATGCAAACAAAACAAAAATAAAATAAAAATAAGAACCCTTTTCAAACATTTTCTATTAATGGGGGGAGGGGGGGGGGGGGCTTCACAAGTATTTAACCCCAAATTTATCATCTATTAATGTTGATAACAGAAAACGGAGAACAAAAAAAAAACAAATTTGCTTAAAAGAGGTTAAATTAAAAATTTTTTAAATTCTTTGTTGAGAAAAATGAAAAAATGAAAAAAAAAAATATGAATAACAGAAAAAAAAAAAAGTAAACCTGACAAAAAAAATTAAATTTAATCTCCATAAATTCGGCATAGAAAAAACCTTTCATATCATTAAATATATATAACCAAAAATTAATTACATTGTTTGTTTTATCATCCTGTAATCCTGTAATCGACAAGCCTGCATGGTATGTCGCGATGACCTGGTGTCACCGCAAAAATCAATTTAAAAAGATACTAAAGCGCCCATAAAAAAAAAAAAAAAAAAAAATAAAAAAAAAATAAAACAAAAAAAAAAAAGCTTACTGCACCAATTAAATATATTAAGTTAGTGTCAAGCCTTACCTTTGTTTTCTTTAAATAACGGAGAAATTCAAAAAAAAAAAAAAATTGTTTTCCAAATATATAAATGTGTGTATGTGCGCTTTTTTCCTCCATTTTCTAAAATCACCGGCATATTAGTCTCTCTCCTAACTTATTTTTAGTTACTATTTATTAATTAATATTACTTAATAATAATTATTTTTTTTTTTTTTTTCAAAAAAAAAAAAAATAAAATAAAACAAAAAGTCTCCTTGCAGAAATTAAAAAAAAAACAAACCTAAAATATTTTGAACTATAAAAAAAAAATTAATAAATGTACGTAACTTTGCATAAGTGATTCCCCTAATTTTCCCATCCCCTTTATAAAAAATATTCGTTTATAAATATTGTAAAAGACCACGCATTAATTTCATTTCTCTTCTGAATTGAAGTGCAAGGAATTAGGATTCCAACTTTAAATTTATTATGAGTCTTACGATGACGAAATCAGCCAACACATCTACATCATCCACTTCATCATCTATTCGTCCAGCAAACTCAATTGGAACATTGATACCGACAACGTCTCCGGGTAATAATAATATTTCATCACCGCAACAAAAATTATCATCGCCTTCAACGATGTCATTGCGTCCTCAACAACCTCCAATCGTTACTTCGGTACCACCAGAAATTTTTGCTAAAATATGCGATTACCTGACACCGATTGACATCTTCAAATTATCGACTGTTTGTTTACAATATCGAAATTTTTTGTGTACCCCATGTTCAGTTATATCTCAAAATATTTGGCGTAATTCAAGAACCAAATTCTTAACTTATCCTGAATTACCTCCACCACAAGGAATGGAAGAGGAAAAGTACATTCGGATTACAAATTTTGATAAAAGTTGTGAATTTTGCGGAAATCGTGATCCGGAATCTTCAAGATTATATTGGGAATTTAGAGTTCGTTGTTGTGATAAGTGTTTACTCGAAAGAACCAAAACGTAAGTTTTTTTTTTTGAAATTATTTGTTTTATATAACATGATTATTAATATTAATTAATGATTTTGATAATGACTTTTGATTTTCAAATGATTTAGTTATGAAGAGCTTGAGAAATCCGCAGATATACAAATTGAAATAATAGAGACATTGCCGTGTGTATGGATTCGAGGTGGTGCTTTCGCCGTGCCTGTTCATAGATATTATTGGATTGATGATGTAAAGTCAATAAGCAAAGAATATTCATCTTTGAAGGGAAAGGATTATTCGAGTTGGTTATTGAAAAAAAAAGAACAACATAAAAAATATATGGCCGAAGTATCTCGTTATTATTTGGAGGATCAAAAGCAATGGAATGATTTGCAAAAGAAATCCAGGCATCGTTAACTTTGTAATATTTACCTAAACCCTTATAAATATTTTTTTTTTTTCGCTGTATAGAAAATGTGAATTAATTGTGAATAATTTTTTTTTTAGTTTTTAATTTTAATTCCTTTTTTTTTTTTTTTTTTTTTTTTTATACGCGTCATATATTTAATTTTTTTTTATGAAAATTCTTTAAAATTGTTTTTTAATTGACAAAAAAAAAATCATTGAAATTTAAAACCAAAACTAAAAATTAATTTTTATTGTATATTCTGTTTTTGCGAGAATTATTTTCGCTAAATATTTCTTGCCAAATAAAATTACGCGATTGTTTCCCATAAAATCTCAAAAGATGGTTTCAATACGGATATTTAGACGGCACCCTTATCATCGATTAAAAACAAAATTATTTAAGCACGAATATAAAAATTTCATTTGCTAGTCACGTTTGATACTAATCTAGATTCCAAGATTGCGATTCACCATAGAAACCTAATACACGGCTTGATATTGTCGTACATGCGCAGTGTCTGTGCCATTGAGGCTTTTTGACAAAAATGGAATATAAAATCGTATACAAGTGAAAGGTGAAAAAAAAAAAGCACAGCCAAGTACATTTTCATATAAAACAATCAAATCGTTTGTTTTTTATTTGTTTGTTTTTTTTTGGTAAATTTTCTTTATCTTGCAAATAATCTTGATTTTTATTTTATTTGATTTGAATTTTTTTTTGATAAGTTATAGATGATAAAAAATAATTTTTTTTTCCTTCCACTTTATAGTAAGTAATACAAGGAATTCAATCGTCTATTTTATTTACAATCTTTATTTGTGGCTTTAATGTAGACATTTTATTTTGGATTTTGATTTAATTGTGATTATTTTTTTTCTGGAGAGACGGATGCATTTTTGTTCACAGAGCAAATGGATTGCAATTCTTTAACGTTCTCGTGATAGGTTAATTTTCTTTTTTGTTGCCATCTCTCTAACATGTAATACAACCATTCTTATTTCATGAGGAGGATCCGTGCAATTTAATTTCAAAATCAAGGAGAAAAAATCATTTTCCGATCGTACACAATTTAACGATTGTTAGAGTTAATCTTTTTTTAATGTACAAAATTACCGTTTATCATAACACAATTTTAATAAAACCAAGGTTCCAAATTCATATAATTCAATTCTATTTATATTGTTTGGGATGAGGAAGATATTGTTTCGTAACTTTTTAATTTAACTGTAAATTTTCTCATCAATATAAAGGAATTATCTCTGGTGTGTGACAGATAGATATGAAATGATCGACAAAATTTGAGCGAAATATGTTTTCTATTTATAAGATAATTTCAGTCAAGCTTTTAATGCTTCGAATATGCCGAACCACTTCGTTAAGCCTATTCGATTTCGGTGGTAGGAACGGTTCCCAATCCCAAGTTGCCAACTTACAACAAACCTTTTGGATACGATATCTTCTCATCTAAACGGAAGGTTAACAAATCCAAATTTTCTGATGATGTTAGATCATACATTTATCTTAGTATCAATATTGAATATTGTATTAAAACTACGGTTCATCTGTGCGTTATGTTAAATTTGAGAGAAGAAAGCAATAGCGTTCTCAAAATGATTTATTAACTTTCAAAAAAAAACAAGATTCTTTTGTGAAATATATTGCGAGATGTTATGAATGATAAAATCGTAAAAGACATTAACTATCACCATTCGGAAATACGAAATTTCGTAATATTTTTTTGGTCAAGATCTTCCAAATTCACATGTCACTAAAAAACATTGAGATTGAATTAACCGATTGAAAACAATATTTGATAATCTTTTTGAAATAACTCTGTAGTATCATCTCTACGTGGAATAAAAAAGATAAATTTTTAAACCTTTTTTTTTTTTTTTAGATGATTCTCCTTTTTTAAACACTAGATCACTTACATATTAGTTTTATCTTTAACACATAATACACAAATATTTACTTGGAAAGGCCAGTACTTTCCGATAGTTATAATCTCTTTAAAGTTATTGAATAAATAACTTTTACCACAAAATTGACATTTTTTATGTAACAAAACTTTCCAAATAAATTCTTGTTCTGTACAATGATACGTTATGGATTTATGAATCGTTGGGTGAAATTTTTGACGAGATATTCTCCAAATTCGTTGCGTTAATGAAGATGATGATGACCATAACAAATTTCTAATACGATGGCAAACAAGAGTTAGAGAGTAAAGTGATGATGGGGGGATGCATTTACAAATTTCTTCAAATAATTCGATTGGAAGTGATGTCAACCCTGGTTTATTGAGATTTTGGTAAGAAAGATCCGTCGAGATTTTCATTTTTTTTTCATTAACAGATTTCTTTTGAAATTGATTTACCTTTTAATTTATTATGAAATTTTTAGTTTACTGTATGTAATAATTACAACATCAAATGTTGCCGTCGTGACGCGTAACATCTTCTAATGCTTAAAAATTTTCAACCATGGGGGAGATGCATAGAATTTTCATGATTTCAGAACAGTTTTCTTACCTAATTAGGGTACAAAATTTTAGATTAAATTAGTTCCCCTAATTTTGAAACTACTGACCGATAATAGTATTTCATAGTAACGCCAATGGTTCACATGATCGCAGATGTGCTCCCAAACAAACAAAAAAAAAAAAAAAAAAAAAAAGGTCTAATAAATTAATGAGTTTGGAATAGTACAATGATTGGTTCAATGATCTACAAAATCGATACACAACTTTCGGACCTTTAGCATTTTGGCTTTTCCCGTTTTATTGGTTAATTTATTATATTTAAAATTAAAAAGGGTCTTATTGATAAAATTCCTCTACTATTTGCAACACATACACAATTGATAGTTGCAAATAATGATCTTTTAACCATTTTTAAATTTCCGTTTTTGTGCAATTTTAAATAGAGATTTATTTTTTTTAAGTGTTTTGTTATAATACAATGTATAATATATCAAATATCAAACTTACATCAATAAGTGATTATCAAATTTTTAATAAAATAAATAAGTATTAAAAAAAAAAAGTGTTAATTATGTAAAAGAAGTGTAGTTAAATAAAATAAATGAAATATGTGACAACCAGTAAACCTGTTTACTACCCTACCATAAACTATAAACGTTTCGATTATCTTGTCTATAACAAATATTAATGTGTTTTCTCGCGCTTTTTAATAAATCTGGAGAAGCAACTTCTAAAGGAGCAGAAAGTTGTACCATCTTTCTAGATTTGTCAAGATTAAAAGGGGGAATAAATAATTTAATTTGCGTTTGATTCTTTGTTGTTATTGTATAATCTATTAAAATATTTATAAATTTATCGTGATAAGTTTTTGTTTGATGTAATTCCAATTTATAAAATTGAGGTTGACATTCATCTAAAAGGACCTTCAAAGAATCGTATGAAATATTGAAATTTAAGGATAAAAATCGTAAAGAAGGAGGGATTGATTGTATAAATTGTTGTATGGTTGATTTGGTAAAAAGAAATTTCTCGTGATGTCCAAGGGTTAAAACTTTCAAGTGATCAAGGCTTGAGATTAATGCTGGTAAGGTGTTGGAAATATCTTGATAAGCGCAGAGAGATAAATGGGTAATGTTGGGACAATGTAGACCAATTTCTTCAAGAATTTCTGGTGTGACCCCTTCGATCATTAGTTGCTGTAGGTTGGTATTACACATTTGAAGTAAAGTCGTTTGAATGTAAGGACTACTTTCATATCCATTTCCAATTCGTAAATTCTTTATATTTAATTGACGATTAGAAAATCCACATGACATTGGAGAAGAACCTGGGCAACCAACCAGTTCTAACGTTTCCAGGTTTGACCATTTCATTAACCCTTGAAATAATGAATCATCAAAATGTGTCAATCCCCAAAGATTTAAACGTTTTAAAGTTCGACTTTGTCGCATTAGAGCCGAATGAATTGAAAAATCCGAATCCCAGTAATAATTTGACATGTAAGAAGATATGTTCTTTTGTGATGCGATCATCGTGTATAAAGCTATGTGAACTTTTGGAGGAAATTTATAATCATGAGGGAAGTTGATCTTCATGTGCTGAATATTTGTAGCATTCCTTGCTATCGTTAAGAAGAGATTTTCTAAAATATCATGTTCAGTTGATAAATCTATTTTTTGATTTTGTGCTGTTTGTACATTCAACTCCAAAATTTGAAGGTAATTCAATGCATTAAGATTTTTCATACACAATTCATCGATCATTTCCATTAGATGAAGACTGTCTTCACCACAGTAGAGCGTAAGACTTTTTAATCTATTATATTCAATGAATATTAAACTTTGCATTTCCTTGATAACGTTAGAATTCGGGTGTGTGGCGCAGTATTCTTGCACGATCGGTTCAAGGCACTTGTTTACAGCTTTGTGTAAAATATTACTTGGCATCAAGTTATAATTGTTACTGACCATAGGTCCAAACAGAGATTTTAAAGGCTTACAAAATATATTCAAAGGGTCGATCCCACCAACATTGACGGCGTTCGTCTTTAACCATAAATTAAAAGCTCGATTAAATTTATCACTATCAAAATTTCGTAAATATGATGGATATTTGTAAAATGGTTTAGAATGTTTAGGTACTTTTATCCCTGCAAGGATAAGACGGGATTTTTCCATTTCTGGTAGACAACAAATATAAGTCTCAATGATAAGGTCGTACTTTTCTTGTGAGGTAAATTCAAAAGGCCGCCTCCATAGTAATTGGATCGCTATATCACACCATTGACGGTTAACAAAAAGTAAAGAATAAAGTGTTGTGGGGTCGTTATTAAAGTATCCTAATATCTCTCGCAGAGAGTTCAAGGATAATTTTGATGGTGAAATCATTGTGTTTTTTTGGTTTAGATTCATACTACTAGGTTATATATTATATTTACAAATAACTATAAAAAATATATAAATTCTCTATCTGAACGGACCGTCTTTAAAATAAGACGAAAACACTAAAAAAAAAAAAAAATAATGATAATAAATTTCTTGCTTGTACTGTTGGAAAGAGAACTAGGGCTCTGGGAATTTTTTTTTTTTTGTAATGGTACTTTATATATATATATATATATCTGTATTCAATAACTTTAACACTTGAAAACCTATTTTGGAAGTAGGTCAAATAAGCGAACGGATAAGCGGCGGCGCAGTAACCTAATTTGGCGGGCATAATAAAGAATTACTATAAGCATTGCAAATTAAAAATTAATCAGTTTATAAGCCGAATATTTAAAATAAAATTATAACACAAAGACGCCCAACGTAATTTAACCAATTAGACGCCCAATTTTATCATTTAATCGGATCATACTTCCGTTAAACCGTTGATAAATTAACTTTAAATAATTCGCATGTAAACATGTAAAACATATAAAGATATGCGAACTTACATGAAGGAATTTCGTTTAAATCGGCATTTATATGAAAGAAAGGAAGGAAGGAATTAATTTCGGTTCGAGATTCCTAAAACTGAACTAGTGATTATATTTTCTTTTTTTTGATTATAATAAAACAAAGTCGCACAATAGTCATCGATATTGTAAATAACGCTTGGAAAATATCTTTAAAAAAAAAAAAAAATACACTAGTCTATTTGCTAATGTTACACATTCAATGATTCAATGACATTTTTAACCAATAAGATTGTGAACAGTATTGTGCATTTTATGATGGTCAATATTTAATTTTAGAAAATGAACCAATTTCAAGTCTCAAGTTAAAAAGATGTGTTAGTGGTTTAATCATGTTGTCTCGAAATGTATCGAATGTATTAATTATATTAGTATTTACTTGGTTAAGAAAGCGTGTTTTCCATGAGAATTTTCGCACAGACCTCAAAGCACAATATCTTCGTTATATTTCTCCACAGAGTTTTTTTTTTTTTTTATAAACAAGTTACATATTCATTGTTTCATTTAACAATAGTGGGAACATTTTACAATTACGGCGTCTTGTGTACCTTCCTGCTGTGATACCGAACATTCATTTGGAACAATTGTAAATCAGACCCGACTTTAGAAATTTTATAAGCTCAACTCGTTCATCCTTTCAATCCTATCATTTATTCATTTATTTTAAAAAAAGGAAATAACAAATATATGAGATGTTAATAATCCATATAAATTTTCAAGGTATCTTATAATCGATAATATTAATATTTACATACCAGACTTCATTAACATTTGTATTCATTTCTTCACCTTGATACCCGTTATTTTGGATATAATCAACATCGCTCTGTTCCCCTTCTGTCGAATCTTTGCAAGAATCTCTTTCTTCATCAGTTATCACTTGTTCAAAGGTTTCGGTGAAATTATCCCTATTCTGTGCTTGGTTTATTCGATTATGAAAGGATGATGGATAGAGAATTTTGATGATGGTTTGATAACCTTTAACCAAAAAAAGGGAAATAAAATAAATACATCTGTTATTTTTTTTTTCTCCTTTTAAAGCAATTAAAATAAAATACAAATGACGCGTATGAATAAATATATATACACTTTGTTTTGGCTTCTATTAAAACGTTCCATAACATTTTACACTTTAAAACAATTTCAACGATAATAACAGAAGGTGCAAGAATAATTCCAAGCAAGAAATACAGACATAATACAAAAAATGATTGAAAACACCGAAATATGAATGGCATTTTTTTTTATTTTAGTTTAAATTGGAAAGTTGTTTTCACAACTCAAACGTGGTTCAAAACCAAAAATGAACAAGTTTGAATGAACAAGTGAGAAAAAAATCCATAGAATATTTTATTATATGATAAAATGATTTAATTTAATGTGATTGCATAATAATATGAGCATAAAAATATTTTTTTTGATCATTCTATTTCATTTTTTGAATTTTCATTACGAATAATAAATTAGAATAAATCAAACTTTTATTGACACTTTTATCACATGACTATAATTTTGAGAATTTCATGAATGATTTTGTTATTTATCGCGTGATCGTATATTTTATTAATCCATATATTAAAATGATCATCTGAAAAAAAATTGATTCATTGACCAAAGTTTATGATAAGAATATAAAAATTTTAAATATTAAATTTATTTATTCTTTCTAAATAATTTTATTTAGTTTTCTAAAATCTATTTTAATTAAATTAAACTGCTCAGATTATACTAAAAATTGAAAAAAAACAAATATAAGTGATAATTTATTAGTTTAATTTTTTAAATTTTTAAAATATATATAAAAAAAAACTAGAAAATATGTTATAGAAAATAATATTAATAAATAAATAAATAAATAAATTATTCTAATACATCTAAAATAAAAAAGATAATATACTATACTTAAAATACAAATTAAGATTCTTTTTTAAATTTATCATGTTATAAAACATAATTTTATTAAATTATGATTTAATTTATTTAATTTGTTTAAATTTAAATTGATAATAAGTAACTTAAATTAATTAGAATTTATAAATTTATTAAAGTAAAAGATTTAGATTATAAAAAAAAAATTTGAATTATTCATCATTGATTAATTAAAAATCAATAAATCTACCTTATTAGATTTTTTTTTTAAATCTTTTTCTTTTATTTTCTTTTAATATTAACGTTTTTAATTAAATAAAAAAATCTATTTCTTAGACTATCTAGCAGGAAAATTTGCCTGTAAACTTAAAAAATAATTATAAATTTTTTAATAAAATATTGAATTTTAATTTTAATAATATAGTAATTTTATGAAAAAATATAGTTTAATTTAACTTTATTAAAGAAATTTTAAGTTTATTAAGAAATATTTTAAATAATTCAATTTTTAAATAATTTATTATAATAATTTTTAAAAATTTCTTTAAAATTAATATGTTTACAAATTAATTAAATCATTTTATTAATAATAAAAGTTATAAAATTTCTTAATAAATCATAAAAATTATAATAATTAAACTTATTTTTTATAATAAGTTTTATAATATTCTATTATAATTAATATTACTAAAAGTAAATGTTAATAAGATTTTCAAAGATCAATAATAAAATTTATTAATATAAAAATATTTTAAAAATTACAAATTTTTAGCTAGAAATAATTTTAAATTATTTATTATATAATTTAAAAATAAAAATTACTATAGTATAATATATATTTATAAAATTAATTTATAATAAATAAGCAGGCAAACTTACTTATAAATCTCTACAATCTAAAGGATAAATAATATTATTTTTATAAATATTTTATAAATATAAAGATATATTTAATTATATATTTTTATTTTAAAACTATAATCTTTATATATTTAATTATATTATATTTTTATATTTATTAAAAACCTAAAATTTTTTTTATTAATTATCTTATAAATTAATTTTATATATTAAATTTAAATTTAAATTAATTTAAATTTAATTTCATTAAAAAATTTTAAAATTTTATCTTATATTCTTTTATATAATTTATATATTTTTAACAGTATATTTATTAATTTTTTATTAATATTTATATTATATGTATTTATATAATAAAAATATAATAATTACATTTTTACCAAGTTATAACTTATAATTATTACTAATAATAGTTTTTTAATTAATCAGTTAATTAACTAATTTAATCAATTTAACTAATTAATTAATTATTGTATTCCTCTAAAAACAGACATTTTCTAAAAATAAGTATCATCTTATTTTTTATATCTGAAAATAAGTACTATCACATTTTTTAGTATCTAAAAAGAAAATAAAAGCTAAAACAAATCTGATTTATTAAATATTTATAAAATTTAATATTTTTTATTTATTGAATTTAAAAGAATTTATTATTATCAATATTTCTTTTATTATTATTAATAATCACTATCACTATTATCATTACTATTATTATTATTACTACCATTATCATTTATTTGCTAATATTATCATTAATGCTATTACTTTTATAAATATCACTACTATTAATATCTATAATATTCAAAATTTTATTTCAATTTTATTTGCATTTTCATTTGATTTATCTAAAGAATTTGATATTTCACATATTTTAAAAATTAATAATAATTTTATCTGAATTACTTCTCAAAAACATTTGAACTATATGTAAATATTATTTGATAAAGATTTCTCATAATATTTATTCTAGCATCACATCTA